CTTCGCTGCCTTCCACTGGGAGCTTGCCGGGGCCAAGGCCTGATAAAGACCATCTTCCAGGGACACCTCGAGCCTCGTGGGCGTTGTGAGCGGAGGCAGAGCCTATGAGGCAGGCAAAAGGGAGAGAAAGCTCAGCAGATGTGATAGGGATAATTCCCCTTCCTTGGGCTGCAACTCCCTACCTGACGTCCTTCCTCTGGGTCGACTCACTTCTGTACCACGCTCAGAGGTGACCCCGGCTGTCAGCACAGCTTTCTCCCATCCTGCCTTGCTCCTCTGCTCACCCCATGGCCCCACGGCGGCTGTCTGGCCCTACTCTGTGACCGTGCCTTTTCACACTGCATTCAAAACTCGAGTTTCCTCGTCTTCCTCCTTAGATTGAGAATCCTTTTGAGGCAGCATTGATGTCATTTATTGCAAATCAGTCAATAAGCGATTGTTGAATGAATGGATAAGCAAGTGAATGAATGTGTTCAGATGAGGAAAGTGGAGTTTGTAACCAGCCCAGTTCTGTGCACCTAGTTACGCTGGAGCTGTCAGGAAGCTACGTCTCCTACCCTTCCCTGGAGGATCGAAGAGCTAACGTCAATAGCTAGAAGATTCTGCGATGTCCTCCAGCGTGAGACTGGCCTGGCTGCTACAAGAAGACGAGAGATCCTGCGTCAGAGAGTGTGGTGGTTATTACAGCCGGAGCCAGGGTGTCCGGCTCAGTTAACTGAGCCACAGTTCCCACAAAGCACCAGGGAAAGAGTCACATAGACCTGCCCACGTGGTCAATTCTATTACAGCAGAACTCGCTCTTAGAGAACCCGAGTCGTTGACAGCGGGCAGTGAGCGCGCCTGGCCCTTCTCTCCAGAGGAGGATAGAACCTTTATTATACCAGAAAGCCAGCAAGTTTGTCTCTTGTTTGAAGGCAGACAGCATCGCTATCTTACAAAACTGTTCATGATGCAAACAGTCCTGAATAGAAACAAAGACATCGACATCTCTGCTCCTAAAAGGTGAAACCAGTGAATGTCCATGCCCGGTGCTGACTGCTGCTGCTCCGAGACTCGCCCGGTTAACACCTGGCAATGCTGTGCCAGGCCCCCGGCTGCACGCCAGAGACGCAATGCTCGGCAAACCCTCTGCGAGCCATGATTCCAAGGTGGAGAGGATACATTCTGATCCGAGTCTCATTACTAAAGGGTGCTGGTGTAGCTTCCTCAGGCCCAGCCACCCCGTCCACCTCTCCCCTCCGGATCAGCCCGCTCTCCAATGCCGCCAGCCCAGCCTCCCCCACTTTGGCGGGAGGAGGAAGGGGCACCCATTTCTTGCCTGCTGTTTCCAGTTCCCCCGCTCCTCCCCCCAACCAGGGTCCTTCTCTGATGAACCAAGCAAGAGGCTGTCCCGCTGGGAGGACTGAGGACCCCCGCTGGCCTTTCTGCCCGCCATCCTCGCAGACGTGGACTTGTTTTAAAGTCCCTGAATGACCAGGAGGGGACGTGTGGCTGCCTGTGCTGTGGCGGGCCGTGCTCGCTCGCCCGTGCATCCCGAGAGTGACAAGGCGCAGTGCTTCTGCGAGGGGAGAGCCGGGAGGGTTATTTGTTTCTAATGAGAAAGCTGAATGCAGCATTGCTTTGTGTAACCCATCAGCCAGCGGGGCTGTGGGATTCTCCAGGGATGGGGACATGAAACCCCGGAGGAGGCCAGCGGTGTGGACTTTGGTGCCCTTGCCTCTCCGCTCAGAAGGGCCTCCGTCCACCCAACGGCACTTCTCTCTGTTGACAGGGCGCGAAGCTGTGTCCCTTAAACAGAAGCAGCAGAAGGTGGACACGGCATCAAAAAGGACCCTAAATCCAGGATTCTGGAGCAGGACATTGCTGTCCCACCTGGACAAGGCTCTGGCTGGCAGGGAGAGTTTCATGGCTGCCTGGTGCCCGGAGGGACAGCAGGGGTCACCCCAGGCGCTCACGGGCTCAGCGGGGACTCGGCAGGATGGTAGAAGGATGCCCATGGGGTGGGCACTCTGGGGCTGGCTCTGGGGAGGGCGCAGAGCAGCCTGCAGGGGTCGCTGAATCCAGTGCCGGGACTCGGGTCTCAGGGGCTCAGGGTCGCTGCAGGGGCAGGGCTGGGAGTGAGGCAGCCGCACGTGGATGGATGCCTCTGACACAAACTGACAGGGCGACACAAGAGGACGTCCATTTCTGCGACAAGCTGAGAGTGCTACAGTTCTCGAGCACAGCAGAGAGGGCCTGGGGCGGTGTCCACGCCACAGTGGCTTTGCCTCTACAGGGAGGTTTATTCAGAGGACAGGAGAGGTGAGCGTGGAGGCAGAAGCGCTCGCCGGCAATCCAGACAAGCAGAAAAAATTGCAATAATCAAACAGACATCCTAGCCATGTGCCAGTGCTGAAAAGAAAATAAAGAGGAAGAATGAGGACGGAGGAGCCGGAGGGAGGGAGGAGGCGGGGAAAGGGCGGGGTTTGGGGCCCACTAGAGAGTGAGGGTTGGCTCTGGAAGCATCGCTGGTCCTTCTGCACTCACTGTGAGCTAGAAGACAAGACGAGCACACGGGGCGTCACGCTGACCCACACAAACCATCGCCAACGCTGTTCTCTTGTTCCATAGCTTACAAAGAAGAAACAGGGGCTAGCGCTGTGGCTTAGCCAGGAAAGCCACTGCTTGTGACACCGGCATCCCATATGGGCGCCAGTTTGAGTCCCAGCTGCTCCACTTCCGATCCAGCTCTCTGCTAACATGCCTGGGAAAGCAGCAGAGGATGGCCTGAGTGCTTGGGCTCCTGCACCCGTGTGGGAGACCCAGAGGACGCTCTGGGCTCCTGGCTTTGGCCTGGCTCAGCCCTGGCCATTGCGACCATTTGGGGAGTGAACCAGCAGATGGAAGCCCTCTTGTTCTGTCTCTCACTCTCTCTGTGACTCTGACTTTCAAATCAATAAAGGAAGAGGAAGAGGAAGGAGGAAGAGGAGGAAGAAGAATGCTGGGAAAGCTCTTCTTTTGGGTCCTGCAGCTTTGCTGCCCCTGGGCTACTCACCCCTGCGGGAACAGCTCCCTGGAGGCCACCGGCTGCTTTCATTTGCCCTGCAAAATCCCTCCTGACGCTGAAGGTGAGCCTCACAGGCGAACCCCACGGAGAAATGTTTGGCCCAGAACGCAGGACTGAGAAGCGGTGAATGAGTGACCCACAGCTGCGCTGTGCAAGTCCCCACCGCTCGCCGGGCACAGGTCTGAGCAGACTTGAGAGTCAGGACTTGAGCCCAGGTCAGCCCAGGTTCAAACTCTGCCCTCAGCCCCTGGCCCACATCTGTGGTGTCTGCCTCAACGTTCCTTCCTGGTCAGTCAATCCTTTCTGTCCCGTAGCCGGGTCCTGGATGGCAGGGTAGGAGCCCTTGTCACCCGTTCCCCTGGAGCCTTCTACTAAAGTCCCCAGCATAGCCCACAATGCGTGACTGCACCTGTCCTGGGCCTGCTCGCCTGCGGCCCACAGCCAGGAGCATGGTCTACACCTCTGCACGCATGAGGCAGTGCACTGATGCCAGAGGCCAGGATTTGTCTTCCAAGAGCTCCCATCGTGTAGGGGTACGGACCTGTGAGGGTTAACTCATGTGTTGACCTGGCGAGACAGGAGGCACCCAGATACCCGGGCAGCACTGGGGGTGCCTGGGAGGACGCTCTGCTTGGGGACAAGCCCTTGAACTGGGGACTTGGAAGGAACGCGAATAGAACTCACAGGACACCCCAGAGAATCGTGATGAGTCATTCAATTCAACCATACCCATAGCTCACTGAGCTCCTGCAGGAACCAGGCATGGCCTGGTGCAACAAAGCAGCAGACAAAAACCCCTTCCTGCAGGAACTGCACAGCCCAGGGCCCAGCGCTGTGGCGCAGTGGGTTAAGCTACCACTTGGGACTCCTGCATCCTTTATCAGAGTTCAGGGCCAAGTCTCCACTGCTCTGCTTCTGATCCAGCCCCTACTAATGCACCTGAGAAAGAAGTGGGTGGGGTCAGCGCTGTGGCATAGAGGGTAAAGCAGCCACGTGCAGTGCTGGCAGCCCATATGGGCTCTGGTTCGAGTCCTGGCTGCTCCACTCCCGATCCAGCTCTTTGCTATGGCCTGGGAATGCAGTGGAGGATGGCCCAAGTTCCTGGGCCCCTGCACCCACATGGAGACACAGAGGAGGCTCCTGGCTCCCGGCTTCGGATCAGTGCAGCTCCGGCTGTTGCAGCCAGTTGGGGAGTGAACCAGCAGATGGAAGACCTCTCTCTCTCTCTCTCTCTCTCTCTCTCTCTGCCTCTTCTCTCTCTCTCTCTGTGTAACTTTGACTTTCAAGTAAAATAAATAAATCTCTTTAAAAAAATGTCTTCCAGAACCAGTGGTGGAAGAGACTTTGGAAGGAAGGATGTCTGGAGGATGGTGCCGATGCGAGCCAGCACGCAGAGCAGTTACTAAGCACCAGGCTGCCCCTTACAGCTCCATGAGTGACCACATCTCATCTGCTCCCCTTTCTGGGAAGGGGTGTGTGTTTTCCAAAGGGGAAGATCAAGGCACAGAATGTTCAAGTCTCAGAACCAGCAGACAGGGACGCAAGCCTGCCCCATGGCTCAGGTTCATCATCCCCATAACAAACTACACTGAGGCACACAGCCAAGGAGGCAGAAACGCCCTGGGGAGGGGGTCAGCGCAAGCCGTGAGCCCTCTGCTTTTCCAGGGCTGCAGGGTTGGGGGCGGCCAGGGCCGGGACCTGCTGGGTGGAGGACATGTCACTCAGCCAGGCGGGCAGCTGTCCCTGGCGTCATCGCTGCACCTGCCTCCCTGGGGCCCCTGCCTTGTCCTTCATGCTCTTCTGCACCTGCCCCTGCCCCTGTCAGGCCACCCACCCAAGGCCCTCACCAGGGGCCACCTGCTCTTGGACTTTCGACCTACAGAGCTGAGTTCAATAAACCTCTGACGGACCCAGCCTCCGGCATTTAGTAAAAAAACAGACTAAGACCCAGCGCTGACTTCTGAGCCTTTTATTTTGTGATACCAAGGCTGGAGACAGCAAGTGTCTCCATGACAACACCACATTCTGCCTCCAAAGGACCAAGACGCAGCAGGTGGGGAAGACACAGATCTCTGATTCTCCCTGGAACAAATAAGGGCATGGAGCAGGAAGACCTGGGATAGTGTCCCACACTGGGTCGGAGACCCACCATCAAGTGGGTTTGCAGATAATACACATCCCTGTAGCTCCAGGGCACAGCCTGAGCACCTGCTGTGCCCAAACATGAGACCCCCGTCACTGGAGCGGCTCTCACTCAGCGAAGGCAGGGACCCTGGTGCCAAGATGGGTGCCTGGATGGAGAGACTGAAAACTGGGCCACAGGATCCAAATCTGTCCCTGGGGGTAAGAATTAGAGCCACAGGGGGCAGTCCTGCTGGTGCCATTCAACTAGGATGTTCTGCCTGGAACCCTCAGCTCATGTGACTCTGGGAACCAGGTCCCGATGGCCGTGACTTTGACTTAACGAAGGAATTTTATGTTATTTTTTCACTCTCAGTAGGATGACAAAAGCAATAGAGGGCGATTCCTCTGCTGTTGGATTCACGACCATGCTCACTGAAACCAAGCAGCCCGGCTCTCAGGAGCTGTGCACGAGCACACGGCACACAGGAGCACCACACACAGGAGGCAGCACCTTCGACAAGGGGAATGCTCCATTCGTGTGTGCTTTCTGTCAGGTGCACTACACATAATGACTTGGCGAAAGCAACAGTCCCGTAGGGGAACCATGCAAAAGCATCCATCCACCCCAGGGGCCAGCAGCAAACACTCGCTGGTTCTTTCTCTCATGCCAAGTGTGGGTCAAGTTTTCCATCTGCAGCAAAAATGAGAGAATTTCTTTCCTGGCTGACACTGGCTCGCTTCTTAAGCTAAGAGGAACACGGTGAGCAGAAATAGGACCATATGGAGAAATTCACTCAAAGAGGGACCAGCAAATCGATAATGCTACATTGTGTCTTTTAGGAAGTCTTGAATTGAATCAGTTGATTTCATTCCCACTCTGTTTGGAGAGGGAAGGCTGTGGCTTCTCTCCTCAGCCCCAGGCACTCCTAACACTGTTATTCCCAGTACCTGTGGACTTGACCCTCCTGGTGGTCACTTCAGGAAATGAGGGGTGTTAGTTGCCATGGTGACCAGAGAATGACTTTCTCTTGCTCATGGAGGAAAGTTAAAGGTTCCATTCATTGACAATTTTTTTGTCATGTAAATATTGCCCCCTCTACTTCCAGGCTTTGAAACCCTGAGTGGATGGACCCCATTAGAAAAGATTCCCTCCCTCCCTCCGAGGCCATTATTGGGACTGTAGTGCAAAGACACCGCCCACTGCATTCATTCACTCCCTGCAGGCTTCATGGATGTTGTGAGTGACTCAGGCCAAAGGAACATCAACTTGGTCTTTTAATGCTTTTACAGTTCTTTTAATTAGATGATTTTAATAGCTTCTTTCTAAGACTCCCTTCTCCAGCTGCTGAAGTTACAGTCTATTCAAAGCCGAAACCCCAATCATGGACATTTAAATTGCTCTATTTACTGAAAGCTTGGACTAGCCTTGTTCAATGAGACAATCTCTCCGATTCTCCACCAATGACCTCGCCATTCATCAAATTTACATACACATACTGGCTTATTTATCAACTAGGGCCTAAATATAATATTTTATTAATAGTTCTGTGTTCATGTATCTCATACCTTATGGTGAAGTTAATATTTCCTATTTGCTATATACATTTATGAAAAGCTTTGTAAATGGCTTGATAACCAACACACATTCCTTGGAATCAAGCCTTGGGAAATTTTCCTACATACAGGAAAAAGATTCATGCACACGGCTGCCCATCCCAGAGACCCACTGCAAACAGCCTCCAATGGCCAGCGTCTCAGAAAGCCACTAGAAGCTGAAGATGGCGCGACTGGTGACAGAAAACATCTTTGATAAAACATTAAGTGAAAAAGCTAATACAAAACTGTGTATGTGGCATGATGACATTCTGTACAAGTTTCAAAGGTAAATAAAACATGCATAGAAAAAAAAATACCCAGAAATGTTGGCAGCAATTATCTCTGGGCGGGAAGGGACTTGGCTACATCTCCACAACTCTAAGTTTCCACAGGATCCATGTATCGTTTTAACGGGAGCCAAGCAGAGAAAGAGCAGCACCCAAGGGAGACAAAATCGGAGGCAGCGTCCCAGGTCCCGTTTGGGGAGGAGTGGGGGTCCTGCCTTCCGCAGGGGCTCCTGGCGAGGCTGAGAGGGCAAGACTCTGTTCACACAGCCTCCTCAACCAGCGACAAGCAGCGTAAGAAGTGAAACCGCTGCCCCTTGAAAAGAGCAGGCCTCGCTGGCTACAGCGCGTGTTAGAATCTGGCCTGACTTCCCCGGCAGTCAGCGGGCTTGTCAGGTAACACGGAAGAGGGTGACACCAGAACCGTCTGGAACCAAACAACGACATGGGAGCGAAGGCGTGGCGGGGCTCTCATCCAGAGATGAGCTGTCTCTATGTCCTATTCGCGGGGCAAGAGCAAGAATACAGCAGCGGAATGTGGGCTTCTGAGCCCAGGGCCGGGGTCGGGGACGCCAGCAGCAGGCGGCCTCCGGCAGACGCACGGGACGGCAACTGCTCCTCTTTTATGTCGCGCTCCGTTCCCAGGACTGGCACGCTGCGGGGCAGGAAGAGGATCCCGTGTGGAAATTCCTGTGCAGAGTCACTAGCAAAATCCTTCCTCATGGAGCTGCCTGATGTCACCTGTGAAAACAAAGAACGCTGTGCTAAGAACAGACGCTCCCCCTCCACCCCACCCCGCCTGTTCTCTCGCAGGACCCGGGAATATGGCTCGGTACACGACCAAAGCTGCGAGAGAGTCTTCAGGCACTGAAGTGCTTCTGTGCATATATTATTCTCAATCTCTCTCTCTCTCTCTGTCTCTGTTTCTGTCTCTGTCTCTCTCCCTCTCAGAACCACTAATCCCCAAGGCATGGGGAAACTACCACCACCACCACCCCCTTTTTTTTTTTTTTTTCATTTTATTTGATAGGGAGAGAGAGTGAGACAGAGAAACTGATCTTCCATCTGTTGTTTTACTCTCCAAATGCCTTCAACAGGCAAAGCCATGAGTCCGGAACTCAGTATGGGTGCCTCGAGTGGGTGGAGGGACGCACTGGAACCGTCATGCCCTGCTGCTTCCCAGGTGTGCGTTAGCAGGAAGCTGGATCAGGCACTTGATGCGGCACTCAGGAGCCCCAAGCCGCCTCTTAAGGGCTGCACCCACCCCGAGATGCTTTATTTGCTTAATCATGGTGCATAAATTTTAAAAAGTTGATAATGGGGTTAAAGACTTGAAAAATTCATCAAAATGCAATTTTATGATGACTACCCAATGAACAACTTCAACTTCCTCCACATTCGGAGCATAATGCCAGCAAATACAAGAACCAGTGGATTATTAGGTAGGGAACGGACTGTCAATCTCCAAGGAGCTCCCTCCCCCAGGTCCTAAGGGGAGGGGTGCCCACTCCTCACGCACAGAGGCAAGGGAAGGCGCCGGCTACTCTGACCCTAGATCCCTACGTCCCTTCAACCTTAGTGTGGGAGGAAGAAAGAGAATACGCACGACCCTCTGTTTATCTGATTCACAACTGCCAGCTCCTTGCCCTACCTGGACAGGTGCAGCTCCCTCCCGCTGAGGGTGACACTCTTCCCTGGCTAGCACCCAGCGGGGGAGGATTTCTCAAGCCCCTCTGGATAAAGCCGCAGCACGAGGCCCTGGGAGAGCAACTTTTAGCAGCACGCAGCTGGCTGCCTATGAAATTACTTTTTCGGCAAACGTTTAAAGAAGATCACAAACAGATGTCAAAAAATGAGCTTCCAGCTAGCAGTGAGCAGCAAGGGAAAACTGGACAAGCCAAATGCGTCGGTTTTAAAGGAGTCAGCAGTTAAGGATTTAGGGGTACCTGGGTGCTCATTCTCTTCGGATCCCCTTTCTCTCGTGGATACACACACACACACACACAAACACACACAAACACACATACACGCGTACACGTGTGCGCGCGCGTCACATCCTTCCCCCAAACCATTTTCATTCACCAATTAACTCTCTTCATATCAATGAAAGTTTAAGGCTAAGCCAAGGGGAAGTGGCCAGGAAGGAAGTCAGCGTGTTATAGTTGAAAAAGAACGGGAAGTGAGAAGTGCGTGTCTGGACTGGATCTTTTCTGATTACGGCCACTCGTCAAACACCTTTAGACTTCCTATGATCTTCAACTGTCTGCTCTGTTCCTGATTGCTTATCTTTCAGCTCATAACTTAACAAAATGCAAAGCGCTGCAAAATCCTAATTCTAATGTATTATATGGCTTAGTATTGTTGTCATCAAAATGGCACCAACTAGAAAGACCAGGAACCAGTGCTTTCTCAATAAGCCAGGCTTCTGCGGGTGCTGCCTTGCAGCCTATACCAACTGTGCACCAGCCCAGCTCTCACAAAGCCCTCCGTAATCGAAGGATTTTGTATACGAGCCCCAGTGGTCAGAATGCAAGGGGCAGAACCAAGTGCCCAGACAGGCCGAAAGGAAGCTGCGGGCCGTGATCGCCCCACAGCACCAGCACAAGTGAAGAGAAACTGCACAGGTGGGGGTCAGCGTGAGGGCCAGGGCAGGCGGCGCACAGCCCTGGGCACCTGGTAGCCGCTCGTCCCTGGAAGGAAGGGCAGAGCGAAAGCAAGGAGGTGGGGAGAAGGGAGGAAGGCGGGAACTCGTCGTCGTGTTGCCAACTGCTTCTCGCACCAACGTCTGTTCCAGCGGAACGCCCCTTCCTGTCTTTCCCTGACAACATTTTAAATATTTGGTTTCAGGATCTGGCCAGGTAATCTGGAAACATAAATAAAGCAAGTAGGGAGCCGGCGCCGCGGCTCACTAGGCTAATCCTCCGCCTTGCGGTGCTGTACACCGGGTTCTAGTCCCGGTCGGGGCGCCGGATTCTGTCCCAGTTGCCCCTCTTCCAGGCTAGCTCTCTGCTGTGGCCCGGGAGTGCAGTGGAGGATGGCCCAAGTGCTTGGGCCCTGCACCCCATGGGAGACCAGGAGAAGCACCTGGCTCCTGGCTCCTGCCATCGGATCAGCGCAGTGCGCCGGCCGCCGCGTGCCAGCCGCGGCAGCCATTGGAGGGTGAACCAACGGCAAAGGAAGACCTTTCTCTCTGTCTCTCTCACTGTCCACTCTGCCTGTCATAAAAAAAATAATAATAAATAAAGCAAGTAGGAAGGTCCTGGGAGGGGAAGGGGAGCCTTCTACTGAATGTTGCCAGTTAATTGATTGACATTTTTATTATGCAAGAGAGCCATCGCCAAACACCTTGAACACCTCCCTAGAACATTTTTTGGCTAGTCAAAGGCGATCAGCATGCATTTAATATCTCCTCCTCGTAACCAGTATAAGAACAGAGCATGCGAATTTCTGTAAAGACATCCACCATAGGGGATAAAGGAAGGGAAACCAAGGCTCTGAAACACGTGACCGTGTCTCAGTACATGCCCAAGCAGCATAAACAGTGTAGGCTGCTGGTCCCTGCGCCCTCCCCCTGGACGGTAACCTCTGATGGGGAGGAGCTTCCACTTTCCACTTGTCCCTTTCCATATTCCTGAATCAGTTTTTTTTTTTTTTTTGCATAATGCATTACATTCAAGTCTGAGGATACGTTAAAATGATGTAACTGAGACAGATATCGTGATTTTAAATTAAAGTATGGGCATTTTCAGAGGAAAGAAAACAGCCATCAGAGCCACTCACCTGGCTGTCACTGGGTTTTCTCCATCAGACTTCATGCCGTTTATTTGATTTTATTAGCAATCTCCTTCAGAAGACCCTTCAGATCATTAAGCTTGGAGAGGGAAAAAAAAATAGAACTGGTCTTAAGACACATTTTCAAAGCTTTCCGTTTTCTCTGCAGTAGACAGACGTGTTCCAGTGTGAGAATGGCACCTCGGGGGAGGGCAGAGCCAGCAGCGGCAGGTGCACTTCCGCCTGCGCAGCACTCACTTCCTGTGATTGCATCACTAGCAATTAGTGACCAATTAGCTAATCGATTAGTCATCTGTATGCATATGAAGGTCATTAGTAATGCCCACAAAGAAATAAGGGCTTACAGTGACACGAGGTACAATAATAATAATGTGATATGGAACTAATCCTAATAAAATCATAAGATGCTGATAAAGCTTTGTATATATATAGTATATTGTATATATATAGTAATAAAATACTAATAAATTGAATTTTTGAAAATAAATGGTCTTCCCCCAGCACACCGCACATGCAAACAGTCCAAATACTTAAGCCTAATTTAAGTAAAAGACATAATAAAATTATTCTTTATACTTGCATGTTTTGCAAATGTATGATACAAGATACATGAAGCTCATTTTACATTACGTGGTACTTCCGGTAAAAGCCTATGGATATACTGTGATTCCTGTACAGCTGGTTTCTAACTTGCCATATCCCTCACTCAAGGGAAAATAGTTGGTTATGTTGGACTTATTCCAATAATAACTTCTTCCTTAGTTCTTTTTTTTTTTTTTAAGAAAAAAATTAACAAGTATAAAGCCAATCTGGGCTAATGGCTGCCTAAAATGAATAAGGCTAGTGAGATTCCTACTTCTGGATGCAAGGCCAGTTGTGGATAACTTTGTGGTTTTTTTAAAAGATTTATTTATTTATTTGAAAGTCAGAGTTACACAGAGAGAGAAGGAAAGAGGCAGAGAAAGAGAGAAAAAAAAGGTCGTCCATCCTCTGGTTCATTCCCCAGATGGCTGCAACAGCCAGGGCCAGGGCTACACTGATCCAAAGCCAGGAGCCAGGAGCTTCCTCTGGGTCTCCCACATGGGTGCAGGGGCTCAAGGACCTGGGCCATTTTCTACGGCTTTCCCAGGCAATAGCAGAGAGCTGGATTGGAAGTTGAGCAGCTGGGACTCGAACCGGTGCCCATATGAGGTGCCTGCACTGCAGGTGGTGGCTTTACCCACTACACCATAGCTCCAGCATTGGATAACTTTGTTTTCTGGTATAATTTGATGGGGCTTTTGAGAGAGCCTGATGTTTGTTAATGATAAAATGACATACACAAAAATTGCTAGTAAAAAAAAAAAAGTAAATTGAATTCAAGAGCACACTAAAAAGATTATACATCATGACCCAGTGGTACTTAACCCTGGGATGCGAGGGTGGATGTACACGAGAAAATCGGTGTGGTCCACCATAAGATTCCAAGAACAAAACAGGTAAAACAGAGAATAGAAAAAAATCAGAAAAATTAAGATTTGAGTTTTTTGAAAAGATAAAATTGACAAACCCTTAGCTATACTAAATAAGATTAAAAAAAAAGAAGCAGGAAATAAATAGAAATCGGAAAGAAGAGACAATGATACAGACTTGAAACAGATTACAGGAACAGGTTTGCACAACGCAGATGCACATCACCCAGGGATGGAGGCCACCGCCCTCGGTGCAGGCAGTGAGTCTGCATTGCTTCTTGTGGCGGTGGGTGGAATCTGAGCCTTCCATTGAAGAACCTGGGCTATCCCAGGATGCTGGGAGAAACACAAGGTAAGGGCTCCAGTATCAGAGCAGTGGCTGGGGTTAGGCAGGCATAAGCTGGACACAGATCAGACGACACAGCCACAGGGCACCTGCCGTGTGAATGAGGTCCCCGTGTGACCAATCTCTTGGTCACAGTCAGATGCCACACACTA